TTTAACGTTACAATACTTTAAGATCGAAGACTAGGATAAACAAAGAGGGGAGGGATTTGCTAAACTAACAATTGAAGTGGAATACAGAAAAGGGAGGCGTGAGGAGGTCTGGGAAACAAGCAAATGAAAGATAAGTGATTGAAAGACTGAATTGTTTTAACTATTTTTATTTTTCTATTTTGTAATATTTTGAAAATCCTAATAAATATCTTATAAAAAAACAAATTAGGAATATAATATTGCTCTGCGCTATCCCAGCACTGTATGAGCTTCATAAGATAGCTAGCTGCAGACTTTGTTGTAAATAACATACCCAGCCATTGCTTCACAAGGCTGACAATGGCCTGAACTACAATTCTCCCTTTTATAGGACAACTGACATGGGGCCTGATGTCATGGTCTTCCTTAACTCCCTGCCCCACATTGCTAATGGGAGCAGGGAATGCAGGCCATGACATCAGGGCATGTTTGGCAACCACCACACAATACACAATACCAAATGTGTTTTGCACTACAGGAAGCTGATAATGATCTAGTCTTTTAATCTGATGGTGCAGGTCTCAAGTGCTCACTGAGGAGGTAAACATGTGTTTGGAGGGAACTACTTCAGGCTGCAGGTTGGGGCTGACATAGAACTGTAGAGTTGGAAGGCCCACAAGGAGCATTTAGTCCAACCCCCTGCAATACAGGAATCTGGTGCACAATGTGGGGCTCAAACCCATGACCCTGAGATGAAGCGTCTCATGCTCTGCCAACTGAGCTATGACTTCTACAGCTTCTATAGCTTTTCTTTATATTAAAAAGTATTTAAAAATCTCTGCACAAACATTCAAACCATTCTATACATGCAGCACAATGATATGAGGATGTGGTGACAGAATACTGAAGTTGCAGAAGGAATATTAGCAGCGCAGGGAGTGGGATTGGCTAGAATATTTCCCCCTGATGTGCTATCCTTCTACCTGCAGGGAGAATTGGGGAGTCTAAATCAAACCCCTTATGAATACACAGTGGAAGTGAGGAACAGGTTTAAGGATTTAGGTTTGCTGGACAGAGTGCCTGAAGAACTATGGATGGAGGCTTGTAACATTATACAGGAGGCAGCAACGAAAACCATCCCAATGAAAAGGAAATGCAAGAAAGCAAAGTGGCTGTCCAACGAGCCTTACAAATAGCAGGGGAGAGAAGGCAAGCTACAGGAAATTGAATGCAGATTTCCAAAAAAATAGCAAGGAGAGACAAGAAGGCCTTCTAAAATGAGCAATGCAAAGAAATAGAGGAAAACAATAGAATGGGAAAAACCAGAGATCTGTTCAAGAAAATTGGAGATATGAAAGGAACATTTCGTACAAAGATTACCATAATAAAGGACAAAAGTGGTAAGGACTTAACAGAAGCAGAAGACATCAAGAAGAGGTGGCAAGAATACAGAGAGGAATTATACCAGAAAGATATGGATGTCTCGTATACCCCAGGTAGTGTGGTTGCTGACCTTGAGCCAAACATCCTGGAGAGTGAAGTCAAATGGGCCTTAGAAAGCACTGCTAATAACAAGGCCGGTGAAAGTGATGATATTCCAGCTGAACTATTTAAAATTTTAAAAGATGATGCTGTTAAGGTGCTACACTCAATATGCCAGCAAATTTGGAAAACTCAGCAGTGGCCAGAGGATTGGAGAAGATCAGTCTACATCCCAATCCCAAAGAAGGGCAGTGCCAAAGAATGCTCCAACTACCGCACAATTGCACTCATTTCACACGCTAGCAAGGTTATGCTTAAAATTCTACAAGGCAGGCTTAAGCAGTATGTGGACCGAGAACTCCCAGAAGTGCAAGCTGGATTTCGAAGGGGCAGAGGAACCAAAGACCAAATTGCAAACATGAGCTGGATTATGGAGAAAGCTAGAGAGTTCCAGAAAGACATCTACTTCTGCTTCATTGACTATGCAAAAGCCTTTGACTGTGTTGACCACAGCAAACTATGGCAAGTTCTTAAAGAAATGGGAGTGCCTGATCACCTCATCTGTCTCCTGAGAAATCTCTATGTGGGACAAGAAGCTACAGTTAGAACTGGATATGGAACAACTGATTGGTTCAAAATTGGGAAAGGAGTATGGCAAGGCTGTATATTGTCTCCGTGCTTATTTAACATATGCAGAATTCATCATGTGAAAGGCTGGGCTGGATGAATCCCAAGCCAGAATTAAGATGGCCGGAAGAAATATCAACAACCTCAGATATGCAGATGACACAACCTTGACGGCAGAAAGTGAGGAGGAATTAAAGAACATTTTAATGAGGGTGAAAGAGGAGAGCGCAAAATATGGTCTGAAGCTCAACATCAAAAAACGAAGATCATGGCCACTGGGCCCATCACCTCCTGGCAAATAGAAGGGGAAGAAATGGAGGCAGTGAGAGATTTTACTTTCTTGGGCTCCATGATCACTGCAGATTGTGACAGCAGTCACGAAATTAAATGACGCCTGCTTCTTGGGAGAAAAGCAATGACAAACCTAGGCAGCATCTTCGAAAGCAGAGACATCACCTTGCCAACAAAGGCCTGTATAGTTAAAGCCATGGTTTTCCCAGTAGTGATGTATGGAAGTGAGAGCTGGACCATAAAGAAGGCTGATCACCAAAAAATTGATGTTTTTGAATTATGGTGCTGGAGGAGAGATCTTGAGAGTCCCATGGACTGCAAGAAGATGAAACCTATCCATTCTTAAGGAAATCAGCCCTGAGTGCTCACTGGAAGGACAGATCCTGAAGCTGAGGCTCCAATACTTTGGCCACCTCATGAGAAGACTCCCTGGAAAAGACCCTGATGTTGGGAAAGATGGAGGGCACAAGGAGAAGGGGACGACAGAGGACGAGATGGTTGGACAGTGTTCTCAAAGCTACCAGCATGAGTTTGACCAAACTGCGGGAAGCAGTGAAAGACAGGAGTGCGTGGCGTGCTCTGGTCCAGGGGGTCACGAAGAGTCAGACACGACTAAACGACTAAACGACAACAACAAAAAAGAATACTATTTTCTACCTGCAGTCTGAGGTGATGCCGTTCATTCTACCACCTGACAGGAGTAGATCAGGCCTAAGTCACGTATCTAGAGGCTATAGCAAGGCCATCTGGGGCCACTGATGGTGCTTGAGTCTCTGCCACACAGGCAGTTTATGCTTCCACCATTGATCCTTCTTGGCAGCTGAGTTCCTTCCAGTATATAAAGAGCCTATCTGGAAAAAAGAAAAGGATTGAAAAGTTGGCAAAGGAGCAGAATCCCTTAAACTTCTCTGACTACAAGCCGCACCTCACTGTGCGTCCTTCCCTCAAGTGAACTGCAAGCATGACTCAGTCTGATACTGTTCATTGTGTCCCTTGCAGGCAAGAATTAATCATCTGTGCAGTTTGAAAGCCATCAGTGCTTAATGGACCCAGAGACCTGACCTCAATTAGTTTGTAATGAGACAGCATTCCTGGTGCACAGGATATTCCATGTGGATGAACATTCTTTAAACAGATGGAGGCTGAAAATGAACTTGACAAGACACAGCCTTGTGGCTGGCCCTGATGCAAGCCACTGCTCCGAAGGCGCTGCAACGGATTACATAACCAGCACATGTCGGCAAGAGATGCAGGAGCAGCTTCCATAGGAAAAATCGAAAGCTACAGATAAGTGATCAAGCAATCTCTGTATAGTGCTCAAATGATCTGTGAATAGGGTTACAGCTGATATACCTGCCAAAGCTGGTGAAACATGCTTCTGCCTGCCCCTGCCAAGACCTCCCAAGTTAGTGCAGACAGAGCCTAGACCTGCTCCACACGGTGAACTTTGGGGTGGGAGAGTGGGAGGTACCATCATAGATCCCCACAAACCCACTTCTGAAGCAAGTGATCTCACAGAACTTCCATCTTGCCTCAATTTAACCTTATGCGCCATTCTAATGATTGCACTCAGACACTTCTTTTATTTAAGCACTGTGGTTATATTGTTTTTTAAAAAAGAAATGCAGGCAATACAGCATTTAGCTTAAATAAAAAGACTGAACACATGTTTGTGTGCATGCTCACGTGTGTGTTCACACACAAACACACTGCTAAACAAAGTAGGGGCACCTGAGTATAGTCAACATGACACATTTTATAAGTTGCAGGACTCCAATTCCCATGGTCAGGGATGAGGAAAGCTCTAGGCTAGCAACATTTGGAGGGTACCACACCCTGCTACAGAAGCATGATGATACGTTCAACTACCTAAGACAGGCATAGGCAAACTCAGCCCTCCAGATGTTTTGAGACTACAGTTCCCATCATCTCTGACCACTGTTCCTGTTAGCTAGGGATGATGGGAGTTGTAGTCCCAAAACATCTGGAGGGCCGAGTTTGCCTGTGCCTGACCTAAGATGTCACTGTATGCTTGAAGAAGCACTCTATGCTTCTTCAAAATGAGATGCGCAGTGAATGACATTTTAGGTGTGTGAACCTATCGCCATGCCTTTATTTCTGTGGAGGTTGTGCCTCAGAAGCAATAGCAGAACCACAAGGGGACACAGGACAAAAGCAACATGGTGCTGTTGTCATGTAGATGCAGGGTAAAAAAAGGAGTGGATGGCAAAAACTTAGCGATTTTTCTTTTGCCTAATTCCCTGATCTCTGTGACAGAGCTGGGGTAGATGGGTTCAGGTGATCCCAGAGATATCCAGGAAACCAAGTTGTTCAGAGCTTTGTAAATCAATCAAAGACCCTTGAACCTGGCTCAGTAGGAGATGGGCAGCCAGTGCAGCTGTTTCAACAGTGGTGTCACATGTTCCCAACCATAATCTCCCATCAGCAATAAGGCTGCAGCATTCTGTACTAGGTGGAGTTTCCGAACCAGTCCAAACACCAGCCCCAGACAGAGCACATTGAGCAATCCTGGAATAAAACCACCCCCAAAAATTGTTGCGCTTTGCTGAAGCTAAGAACAGATGTCTTCCACTGGTGTGAGTGCTGAAATCATAACCTCCTTTATAGCTCTGAAAAGCAGGAGCCAAGTCTATTTGTGTACCGATGGATGTCCAGCCAGGGGCTGAAGTATTCTAAGAACAGAAGATGAGCACCGATTGACAGATGCAAGCAGTTAAGTCTAGGAAAAAATAGCTGCAGTTAAGTAGAACAGCAGCGTGGTGTTGGACAGGCATCCTAGGAAGCAGCAGCAGCAGCAGGCAGTGAAACACGTTCATTTTTCCTCCAGCCAGGCTTTTAAAAGCATGGATTTCTAGCCATTAGAAATGGGCTCATCATTTACTGCCAGCATTAAGTGGAAACCTATGCTAGTTCCAGGCAGGGGCTCCAACTATAGGGGGCTCTGGGTGCCTGAGCACCCATAAAAAATGGTGGTGGGTGCTCAGCATCCACACTGCAGGGCTCACAACACAACCTTCAAGGTTTCACAAGGCCTGGAGAGACCTCGGAACCCAACTTCGGTGACAATGGAAGTAAGGTTCCAAGCCTGGCTCCTCTGGTTCCAGGGAAGAAGTTATATGGTTCAGAGAGTCTTTTAAACCAGCCACCTCCTTGTGTACCAAGGTTATCAGTCAATCTCAAGCATCCTCCACCTTGCATCAAATTTCAGAATTAAATTATGAAGGTTTTAGCTCTCTTTCCTTTCCCCAGATTTTTGTGTGCTCTCAGTGCTTTATAACAAACATTCCTAGGAAGAAGTTGATGCTTAGTTATCCATCCCCCCCCCATTCCATTGAGAAAATGGTAGCTCTGCTCAGCTAGTACATGA